GTGTGTGTGTGTGTGTGTGTGTGTGTGTGTGTGTGTGTGTGTGTTTGTTTGTGTGTGTGTGTGAAAGAGGGGTGGGAAAAACCGACGCGTCCGTATCGCCAGTAAAACACACGACGCTCGGCAAAAACAACAGACGTTCCGATCCGATGCCAGCCGACAACAGCAGACGGTCAAGTCGCAGATTCAAGCGGCACTACGCATGCGCCAGCGATGTTTCGTTGTGCGTGCGCGTCTGCGTGCGTGCGATTGTTAGTACGTGTGATTGCGCGCGTTTGCATGTAAGAGTGTGTGTTTGTGTGTGCTCACGAGCAAGCGCGCGTGTATGAGTTCTTGCGTGCATTTGCGTGTACTTGCGTGCGTGCGTGCCCCCGTGCGTGTGTTGTGTGCTCGTGCTAGGCTGGATAGCCCTTGCCGCGTATACCACCTCGGAGATCTCTGCTGTGCTCCGTCGGGGCGTGACGCTGCTTTTCTCTCGTCGCAGAAAAAGGGCGAGGCGGTTTCTTCTGTGCGTGAGAACGCCGCTGAGATAAAGGATGTGGTCCCCTGGTGGTTTTCGCGAAGCAAGCTATAGCCTTTGCCGCGTATACCCCCTCGGAGATCTCTGCTGTGGGCAGGCATGTGACGCATGGCGGGCGCGCAGGCATTTCACCGGTTTTCAGTAATAATAGCAGTTAGCGAGAGATAGAGAGAGAATGAGAGAAAGATAGAAAGAGAGAGAGAGAGAGAGAGAGAGCGAGAGAAAGAGAGAAGGAGAGAAAAAAAGAGAGAGAGAGAGAGAGAGAGAGGAGGGGCGGACGGGAGGAGCGAATTGCACTATCAGAAATACAAATGGTAGTAGCAGCAGCAAAAGTAGTAGCAGCGGTAGCAGCAGCAGCAGTAACCGCATAAACAGCAGCAGCAACAGCAGCAGTAGCGGCAGTAACAACAGCAGCAGAAGTAGCAGTAATAGTAACAGTAGCGGGGCGGGCGGGGGTTTCGACGTTTTTCACGGTCGCGCCGCCCGTGCGTAAATAATTAGCCGGGATCACCATCTCTCAGGGAGGTGCGACGCGCGCGCTCATGTAGGAATGCTGCGAGACAAGGCAACCCGCATATAGGGCGGAGGCCTCAGCATCTCAGCGCATCGCTTACAAGCACACACACACGCGCGCACGAACGCACGCACGCACGCACGCACGCACAATTCAAGGGGGAAGCTGAAATTCTGTGAATGTGTATTTGAGTACTCCATTTTAAGGAAGATAGGCCCTAATACTCTACGTGGACACAAATCTCTGCACACAGTCAGTTACTCCCTTCAGAACAGGAAGATCCAAGAATCCCCAAAAAGCAAAAATGGTACAAGAAATCTAGTTTGCGTTAGCCATAGTTGATCAAGCAGCCTGGTGTTGGGGGCACTATACTAACATGGCAGCACTGCAGTAGAACCCAGTTAACGAAAAGAGCTTTGCGTTACGTGGCAAAGACTCGTCGGAGCAAATTTCGACACCAGTCGACGCGACGCGCCACCTACCAGCAGATTTCCGAGCGCGACGACAAACATGAACGCGAGCAGGCAGTAGAGGCAGTATCGCTTGCGGCCGCGCAGGCCCGTCTTGTGGAGGTAGTCTTCGTCGATGTGCACGTACCCTGTGCGGAAGTTGCTGTTGTGTTCGGCCGAGATGCGCTTCTTGAGCAGCGACTTCTCTCTCATTGACAGCCGCCGCATCGACTGCAGCTCTGTGCCCTGCGAGCGAGAGAACGAGCACATACAATCAGGTATAGATACAGGGATACGGGGATAGGTACGGGGATACAGGGATACAGGGATAAGTACGGGGATACAGGGATAGGTACGGGCATACAGGGATAGGTACGGGGATACAGGGATAGGTACGGGGATACAGGGATAGGTACAGGGATACAGGGATAGGTACGGGGATACAGGGATATGGGGATAGGTACGGAGATACAAGGATAGGTAAGGGGATACAGGGATCGATACAAGGCTAAGTACGATGATACAGAGATAGATACGGTGATAGAGAGGCAGATACAGGGATACAGGGACAGATATGGGGATACATGGATAGATACGGGGATACAGGGATAGATACGGAGATACAGGGAAAGGTACGGGGATACAGAAACAGATACAGGGAAAGGTACGGGGATATAGGGATAGATACGAGGATAGAGTGACAGATACGGGGATACAAAGAAACAGGGATAGATACGGGGATAGAGGGACAGATACGGGGATACAGGGATAGATACGAGGATAGAGAGACAGATACACGGATACAGGAACATGTACAGAGGGATACAGGGATAGATATGAAGCAACCCGACCAGGCTCTACGACGGTTTCACGTAGTGGGAAAGGTGGCTTCTTGCCACATTATAGTGAGAGGCAAGAAGGTACCGGTAATTATTTCAGGCAATTGGTTAGGCCACAAATCAAATGACATATAATCTTCTCAATTACTGGTGCTTTTTTCTGTTGTAGTACAGTAACTACAGTATTTTTAGAAGTGTGTGAACTTGAAAATATATTTACGAGCACTGAATGTGGGAAGGCTCAATATCCATGCGTTAGTGAGCATTAACCTAGTTTGATTAACGACAAAAATCCGCCCATCCCCAACCAGTTTGAGTGGAGATTCCGACATTGAAGTTCGTTCGTGTAAATTTCAGTAAATACGGCAACGACATTGTTTATTATACTTTATAGGAGTCAAGAAATTAAAGTTAGCTATATTAATATAGACGGCATATTTTTCGATCAGACTTTACAAGTGACATATCACACTTGGCTTAAGCACTAATAAATGAACTAATCGCAATGTTGATTGTTGACAAAATACCTGATCGGCAACCATTTTGAATAAACACAAGAACAGTCGCGCAGTGCTGCCATTGAACGTCAAAAACTGTGATATTTTGTGAATGTTTTTACCGGTGTCTACTTAGTTTATCAATAAACGATTAGTGTTTAATATGTCGGACCCTGCCGGCGTGGGACGAAGAAGACGACGAAGAGGAGTGATAATACGCAAAGAGAGAGACCCTGTCCCAATGCCACTGCCAGTAAAAACTCCAATAATCTTGGGTGCAAAAACACCAAATGAACGGGTAGGCCTAATAGTAATAGTAATACTAATAGTAATAGTACTATCTATATACTACTAATATTAATAATTAATATGTAAAAACGGTACGTCGAAAGGCCTAATCAGTAATCACTGAATGACTGACAAGACTACTACTAATACTATTACTAATTTACTACTAGTGCTACTAGTACTAATAAATTTTTTTTTTATTTATCTTCTATTATCTCATTCAATGACAATTAATGATTCATCTTTATTCATAGTCCTAATTTCTATGCTTACAATCATGCAAGTGCAAATAATGAGAATGACAATATTTTCAGGGTTCTTCCATGGAGCGCGCCAGCTCTGAGCCGGCTGCGGACCGCATGCCTCCGGTCGTCTCAATCAAACCCCGGGAAGAGTCCGGGCAACCATATCCGCTCTCAGCTTCCCCGTCACATAGCGGCTTCACGCTCGCAACCAAGGACGTGGGCTCACAGCCACAGTACGTCCTGCAGCAGAAGCCAGGTGTGGTTGATGATCATGATAGCTCACTTTCTATAGAGCTGTCTTCTATATCTAGAGGTGGTTTCACTGTATAACCGTCACTTGTGAAAATCACCAAACCTGGCCTTTGACGACAGGTGGCCTTTCTATGGTAGTGCGGCTGATGCAAGTTTGAGTGTTTGTACTCCACGAATCATGTAACCAGGCCGGAGAACACAATGAGATTTTATTCATGAATTATATATTATTAGCTCCGATGTTTTCGTCGTGAAAAGCAATCCCCGTGATTTCGCGCGAATGCTCACTTTTCCAAACACGATCTCGTCTGCGACGAGCGTTCTGATGTGCGCTGGCACGGTGAACTCATCCCACGTCGGGTCGAAGAACGTCGCGCCCGTCACCGGGTTCGTGAAGCGCACCGAGTCGCTCGCCGAGATGACGGTCGAATTGACCCCGACCTCGAGACTCGCATCTCGCCGCTCCGATCCTGGCCGCCTCGAGCCGATGATGACCTGAAAGTGAAACCACAAGGCGGTGACATGCGGTTATCGGTCAGATTCAACTGTTTTTCTACTGAATTTATTATATGAATTTATTTTAAAAAAATTTCAGATTCACATTTTTTTTCTGAATTTATTATATGAATTTATAAGAATTTTTTCGAAGGGTGAGGGGAGTGTCTAGCATGGCAGTTGGGGTGGGGTGGGGAGCGGTAATGCAAACGTTTCCTTTACAAATGGGTTACCATGGCCACTCGAGACTTCTGCTGTGGGGACAGGGTACACTTTCAGGGGTAGAAATTAACTTTTGAACACGGGAGTCCAACTACCCTCAAAAAGAAGGAGTCCGCAGCAAAATGAGGGCGTCCGCAGCAAAATGAGGGAGTTCGCAGTCTGGGGTTCAAAATGAAAGATATTAACAACAACGCATGTGCTTATTTTTAAGATTTATGCTGTTGCGCGTCTGCCAAATTTTCTTTGGACATTAGCTGAAAATATACAGTAACTCTGCGAGGCTAGTTAGTATGGCAGAATTTTCAGGGAGTCACACAGACTCCTGCATATGTCAAATCAGGGAGTCCGACAGTAAATCGGGGAGTATTTGACTCCAGACTCGTTAATTTCACACCCTGACTTTGCAAGTTCATTCGATTGCATTCGTATGGTATGACAATAAAATGTAGAAATCAACCGGCACTTATCACTGGTTGACCCCAGTTGAAACACTCATTATATTATCTGTAATGCATACCTCACTACCAGACAGACAATCACTACTATGAACCCCACTGCTAGGAACTACCACTAGTGAACTCCATCACTACTAGTGCTTCAATGCAGTAATGACAGGACTATTACAGCTCGACTCCTAATGTACGTGTGATGTCACAGACAAAGGTGCAATTCTTACGGGGTTATCGTTGTATCCGCTGAGATCAAAGTCCTGGTCGGCGAGGCCACCGATACCTCGCCTAGCCACGATCATGCCGAGATCGGCCGTCTGCTTGAATCGCAGGAGCACGCCTGGTGGGATGAACTCCAGTGCCTTCATGCCATGGTAGTCGATCTTCCACGCGAGGATTATCACAATGGTTGCCTGCAAAATTAAGAAATCGTCGGCGATTCCAACGTTGTGCATTGCCAACGATGTGCATGCGCAAGATTCCCAATATCATTTATAGTTATGTGCTTACATTATGATTAATGAGCCCTGATAATACTTATCGGTTAAACTCTGGGTACCAGAAACATCATAAGTACTTACAACATTATGAATATAAAATGTCATGAGTTTTGAAGTAAAGTTTCGACATTTTTTGAAGTAAGTAAAGTTTTGACATTTTAGACTGACGATAATCATAACTATGTACGATATTTCTGATAATGGGGCCATAATGGGGCATTTTTTTCTGACAGAGTGGTCTATAGTACTATTACATTCTAAAGAGTAAAATTATATTAGAGTGAAGTACAACGTACAATGATATTCAAGGGGGAAGCTGAAATTCTGTGAATGTGTATTTGAGTACTCTATTTTAAGAAAGATAGGCCCTAATACTCTACGTGGACACAAATCTCTGCACACAGTCAGTTACTCCCTTCAGAACAGGAAGATCCAAGAATCCACAAAAAGCAAAAATGGTACAACAAATCTAGTTTGCGTTAGCCATAGTTGATCAAGCAGCCTGGTGTTGGGGGCACTATACTAACATGGCAGCACTGCAGTAGAACCCAGTTAACGAAAAGAGCTTTGCGTTACGTGGCAAAGACTCGTCGGAGCAAATTTCGACACCGGTCGACGCGATGCGCCACCTACCAGCAGATTTCCGAGCGCGACGACAAACATGAACGCGAGCAGGCAGTAGAGGCAGTATCGCTTGCGGCCGCGCAGGCCCGTCTTGTGGAGGTAGTCTTCGTCGATGTGCACGTACCCTGTGCGGAAGTTGCTGTTGTGTTCGGCCGAGATGCGCTTCTTGAGCAGCGACTTCTCTCTCATTGACAGCCGCCGCATCGACTGCAGCTCTGTGCCCTGCGAGCGAGAGAACGAGCACATACAATCAGGTATAGATACAGGGATACGGGGATAGGTACGGGGATACAGGGATAGATACAGGGATACAGGGATACAGGGATAAGTACGGGGATACAGGGATAGGTACGGGCATACAGGGATAGGTACGGGGATACAGGGATAGGTACGGGGATACAGGGATAGGTACAGGAATACAGGGATAGGTACGGGGATACAGGGATATGGGGATAGGTACAGAGATACAAGGATAGGTAAGGGGATACAGGGATAGATACAAGGCTAAATACGATGATACAGGGATAGATACGGGGATAGAGAGGCAGATACAGGGATACAGGGACAGATATGGGGATATATGGATAGATACGGGGATACAGGGATAGATACGGGGATACAGAAACAGATACAAGGAAAGGTACGGGGATATAGGGATAGATACGAGGATAGAGTGACAGATACGGGGATACAAGGAAACAGGGATAGATACGGGGATAGAGGGACAGATACGGGGATACAGGGATAGAAACGAGGATAGAGAGACAGATACAGGGATACAGGAACATGTACAGAGGGATACAGGGATAGATATGAAGCAACCCGACCAGGCTCTACGACGGTTTCACGTAGTGGGAAAGGTGGCTTCTTGCCACATAGTCAGAGGCAAGAAGGTACCGGTAATTATTTCAGCCAATTGGTTAGGCCACAAATCAAATGACATCTAATCTTCTCAATTACTGGTGCTTTTTTCTGTTGTAGTACAGTAACTACAGTATTTTTAGAAGTGTGTGAACTTGAAAATATATTTACGACAACTGAATGTGGGAAGGCTCAATATCCATGCGTTAGTGAGCATTAACCTAGTTTGATTAACGACAAAAATCCGCCCATCCCCAACCAGTTTGAGTGGACATTCCGACATTGAAGTTCGTTCGTGTAAATTTCAGTAAATACGGCAACGACATTGTTTATTATACTTTATAGGAGTCAAGAAATTAAAGTTAGCTATATTAATATAGACGGCATATTTTTTGATCAGACTTTACAAGTGACATATCACACTTGGCTTAAGCACTAATAAATGAACTAATCGCAATGTTGATTGTTGACAAAATACCTGATCGGCAACCATTTTGAATAAACACAAGAACAGTCGCGCAGTGCTGCCATCGAACGTCAAAAACTGTGATATTTTGTGAATGTTTTTACCGGTGTCTACTTAGTTTATCAATAAACGATTAGTGTTTAATATGTCGGACCCTGCCGGCGTGGGACGAAGAAGACGACGAAGAGGAGTGATAATACGCAAAGAGAGAGACCCTGTCCCAATGCCACTGCCAGTAAAAACTCCAATAATCTTGGGTGCAAAAACACCAAATGAACGGGTAGGCCTAATACTAGTAATAGTAATATTAATAGTAATACTAATTGTAATATTTCTAATAATTAAAGCCGCCCAATGCGCATCCAAACGCTAATTTCTCCAGTA